GTCCATAAGTACCTGCAGGAACTGCAGAAAGAGGCGGAGACTCAACTTAATCAGACTACATTTGAATGTATCCTGATAAATATTCATAGTAGAAGTTGCCGCTGAGCCAGCAGAAGGAAGAGGTGGAGCAGCATCTGAAAGAATCTAAAAGTGAAACTTAAAGCGAGTTTCTCTTCAACGTGCATCCAGCCTTTCTTAGCAGCACAGCAGAGCTTCTGTCCAACACTGGTAAGTACAGATGTCCATGATCACACTGTTTTAAAGGGCAACTGTTGATCCTCCTCATTTTATAACCTGTAAATGATGACATGATGATGAGGATGAGGGGAGACTCTGGTGTGACAAGGCACTTCTCTTTCATTAAATCCCTCAGCAGCGCCGATTCAAAGTAAAAACTGTCCCTAACCACTTAAAGGGGAATGATCTAGACTCATAAAAAGACCCTAGAAAAATTCTTAATGAGTTAAAGACATCAAAATTACCAACAAAGGTCAGCGGTGCAGCTTCTTCTTTCCAGATGCTGAACTTCAGCTCTGCACAGAGGCTGAAATGCAACAAACTTGTTTGGTTCTTCGGTTGTTGTTTCAAAAGGATGAAATGAGAGTTGACTTAATAGCGGCACTCATCAGACTACATGTGTTGGATTGAGACAAAGAAGGCAGATGGCTTGAGCATGTATTGAGGCAGCAGTTTGGGGAGGGCCTCAGAGGGGACTGGTGGTGGCTCCCCTGGCCTGGCAGATCTTTGTGTACTAATGAGAGATAAATGAACCAAAAGAGTGGGAGGTGCATGAAAATAAGAACAAGCATTCGTAGTGCAGGGGGATCATATACAGACAGAGAACAGGAAAGGGCACGTATGGGGGGGTGTTCCTGCGTCTGAAAATCAGATGAATGATCTCTACTAAAAATGCTATCATTCAGCCACAAATCCACAGTGGAAGCATTTAGCTGTCACTTCTCTGGTTTTTTGAAGTGAATTACATGGTTTGGATTTCAGTCTGCTCACTTTTATTACTGTTTATTCAAGATTCAAGATTTTTATTTGCCATTTGTGCACAGGACCAGCAGTCCATGCACATTGGAATTCCTGTGCAGAGCTCTCCAGGTCAAGTCACAGTTTTTACAAGATAAAGACAAATCAACTAAAAAGGAAAATACAAATAAAGTGAGGAATAGAACAATCATAGTATTTACTATGTACAAAAACACTGTACAGTAAGTAGTGTAAGTAGTGCTGTGTTATTTTAAGTGTTCAGTGTTTTTTGTTTGCCATCAGTCTGACTGTGGCGTGTTTAGTGTTGTGTGAGTATTTCAGTGTTTTGCCATAAGTCCGACAGCTGCGGGGAAGAAGTTCTTGAAAAATCTTGTTCTCTGCGTGAAGATGCTATCCGTTATGTTGTGTCTCAGTTTATATGTGCAGTTTTTGTGTCTGAGCAGAGAGTTACCTGGATGGTGTGAGTCCCTGATAATTCTCTCTGCTCTTTTGTCGGCAGTGTTGTGTGTATAGAAAGTCCATGGAAGGAAGTTTTGTCCCTATGATGCTCTCCGCAGACTTTATGACTCTTTGCAGAGCTTTCCTCTCTGTCTGTGTGGTTTTCCCATACCAGACAGTGATGCCTGCATTGAGGATGCTCTCAATCAGTCTACTCTAGGTCTGGGTGAGAAGGCGGTGGTTCATGCTGGCTTTCCCGAGCAGCCTAATGAAATAAAGCCTTTGCTGGGCTTTTTTCACTGTTGCTGTGGTGTTGAGAGTCTAGCTCAAGTCTGATGTAACCTGCAGTCCCAGGAATCTGTGGCTGTTGGCCCTCTCCACCTCTGTCCCTTTGACAATAAGAGGCTGCAGGGGAGGGGGGTTCTTCCTGATGTCCAGTATTAATTCCTTGGTCTTGTCTGTGTTGATGATGGGGTAGTTTTCTTCACCACAGACAAGAATGTTGTCTACTAGAGTCCTCCTATTCTCACCACCTGTGGTCTGTCTGTCAAAAAGTCCAGAATCCAGTTGCAAGTCGGAGTCGGGATGTTGAGGTCCGTCAGCTTCTTGATCATCTTGCCAGGGTGGTTGGTGTTGAAAGCAGAGCTGTAAGTCCAGGACGAGCATCCTGACATATGTTCTGCTACTTTCCAGGTGTTGCAGTGTGTGGTGCAGGGCTATTGCTGTTGCATCATCCACTGATTGATTGGGATGGAATGCAAACTGGGGGTTGGTCTATAGTGTCCGGGACCGTGTGATTAACGTGTGTAAGTGCCACTGGCCTGAAGTCGTTCAGGGCGGATGTTTCCGGTCTTTTGGGAACTGGTATAATGATGGAGGATTTAAAAATATGTGGGACTACTGCCTGGGATAGTGACAGGTTGAAGATATCCATGTGCACACAAGCTAGTTGTTACCCACTGGCTTTCAGTACTCTGGGAGGAACTCCATCGGGTTCCACAGCCTTGTGGGGGTTCACCTTCTTCAGAGCTTTCAGAACCTGTGTGTGTGTCACCAGGAAGGCGGTGTCTGTGGGGTCACAGGAGGTCTTTGAGGGTGAGTCTGTGTTCAATCAATCAATCAAAGCTTTATTCGTCACATGCAGGTTGCCCTGCAGTGAAATGGGACCCCCCCCCGACCTTGCACATATAGCACAAACATTACATGGGGATACAGGTCGGAGATTGGTAGCATTAGAGAAAAAAAACATTGAAATGTACACTACAATGGGGAAAGTACAAGAGGAAAAAAAGAGACCCCTACTCACGCTATGCTTCCATAGTAGGACAGCATGAGAACAGGAAACAAAAAAACTCCTCTGCACAAAAAAGCACATAAATGTCCACAGCACAACATTGTGAAGACATGACAAGCCACAGGGGTGGGTGGGGGGTGAGGAGTAATCCGAAGCGAACACAGCAGCCGCCCTGCACAGCGCTACCATTCCAGCACGGCACACAGACCCGCTGTGTTCCCTTGCAGGAAACAAGCATCGAAGGCGTTGGAAAGGGAGGGGGGATGAGTGTGTGCTTATCAGTGTAAGTGTATGTGTGTGCGTGTCCATAGTTCAGCTGAGACAGCGTTCTTCGCCCTGCCAGGCTAAGTAAACAGTCCCCAGCCAACCCAGGTGGCCTTGCATGGAATGGGAAGGAACAGTCTAAACACAGTCGTTATCAGGGAGTTGTTTGTTCGGCTCCAGCCTTGAGCCCACAGCTGGCGCCGGAGGGGTAGCCGCATTATGATGGCGATTTTCTTTTCCAACAACTCATGAGAATTTCGTGCTGTTTTTTAGTTGGATAGCTGCTAGTTCCTCCATGATGTTATTTACCTTCAGTTCCATGGTCTAGTCGCTCTTTTGCTCACAGAGCAGATTCTGAGACCTCACGACTGCAGCCAACTGATCCGTGATGTATTCCAACTTCCGCCCATAGGTGTTGATTTGAGCGGATTCTTCCCTGATGTATCCCAATATCCGCTCAGAGATGTTATTCTTTAGGTTTTAGACACAGACTGTGAAAGAGTGTTCCAAGGAAGTGAAAAAAAAACATGAGACAAGACAAGGACATAAGCAGCTAAGCAGGGAAGATAGGGGAAAGGAGGAGAGGAGAAAAGTGCGACCGCCTTCGCTCAGAGCCAAACGAGAAGGCCTGTCAAACCAGGCATAGAAGGTGTTGAGGCTGTCTGGTAGGGTGGTGTCTCGGGGGTCTGTGGTTGTTGTGGTTCCCCTGTAGTTTCTGACGTCTTGAATTCCCTGCCACATGCTGCATGTGCTGTTGTTCAGGTAGTAGCCTTCAAGTTTTTCTGAGTGGCCCCTCTTTGCTGCGCTGATGGACTTCTGCAGTTCATAGCGGGCGGCTCTCTTATACACCCCCTGCTCTCCTGCCTTGAAGGTCTCCCTCCTCTCCCTGATTTTCTGTTTAATGTCTCCATTAAACCGGGGTTTTGGTTGGGGAATCTACGCACAGTCCTGTTAAACACTAGTTTATGTAGTCGCTAACAGTCTCTGTGTATTCACGGATGTTGTTAGCTGTTCCTTTGAAGATGCTCCAGTCTGTAGCTTCTAAACAGCCCTAAAGGCTGGCTTTTGCACTGTCAGTTCAGGTGTTAATAGTGACTGGGTTTGTCTTGAGCTTTTTGTTGTAGATGGGTTTTAGCCATGTCATGTGGTCAGACTTTCCGAAATGAGGTTTTGGTTCAGCTGAGAAGGCATTTATGATGTTGCTGTAACAGTGATCCAGTATTTTATTTCCCCAGTTTGGTTACAAACTGATGCAGTTTAGGCATGTTTTCCTGGAGATTACAGTGATTAAAGTCTCCCAGAACAATTACAGCAGCGTTTGGGTGTTTATTTTCATGCTTGTTGATCATGTCATGCAGCTCCTTCAGTGCAGCCTCCTCCTTAGCAGACGGGGGGATGTACACGACACTCACAATGATGCACTGCCGTTTTCTGGGCAAATAAAATGGCCTTAACGTTAGAGTGAGAAATTCCACATTTTCAGAGTAGGATTTTGAAGTAATCTTACAGTCAGTACACAATGATTGCTCGACGAGGGCGGCCGTTCCTCCACCATGTATCTTGCCGCTGTCCGTAGTGCCTGCTCTGAAAATCGTGTAGCCCTCTGGTTTGCTTTATCGAGTGTCCTCTCCACCAGCCAGGTTTCAAAGAAACACAGTATGGAGCACTCCTGATTTTCTTTTTGAATGGAAATCCAAGCTTGGAGTTCGTCCTTTTTATTTTCCAGAGACTGAAAGTTTGCAAGCAGTATTAGCCTTCCTTTGCTAATCATGCGCCAGAACCTTCAGTCAGCCGTTCCCCATCTGCCATGCCTCCACTTCGGCTTGTTGTTCTCAGGAGAGTCCCCTGCCTCAGGCCAGCCTAGCATCAGGTCAGCATAGCGTTTTAGCTCTGGGTAGGATTCCAGCAGGTTTGGGTCAACATGTCCAAAATGACTGTGCTCTCGCAGTTTTCGCAAGAGACTAATAAGGAAGAAGAAAGTAAAAAGTAACTTTACTCTGCGATGTTGCCCTCTGAGGAGGGCCATCTTACTCAGAAGATGCTCAAGAGCTCAAGAAGATGTGGTGGGTGAAGGTAACAGTGGTCCCAGTGGTAATCGGAGCACTAGGTGCAGTGACTCCCAAGCTAGGCGAGTGGCTCCAGGAGATCCCAGGAACAACGTTGGAGATCTCTGTCCAGAAGAGCGCAGTCCTAGGAATAGCTAAGATACTGCGAAAGGCCCCCAAGCTCCCCATGCCTCTGGTAGAGGACCCAAGCCTGAAGGATAGACAGCCCACAGGGCTGTGATGGGAATTTTTTTTTTAAATATATGGCAGCTATGCAAGTTTGCAATTCTGCTAATTTTCTTTTTTCACAATAAGCAAAACATCCCTCTCTACACCATTTGTGCCCCCCATCAGTTTACAATATTGACAACTGCAACTATAGCACAGCATTCATATCATGACTAAATACTGATGTACTCTTATGTGGTGCTCAGTCAATCCATTGAAAAACTATTAAAAATAATTAATTTAATCAGTTTAACAAAATTAAGAAAGAAATGTAAATATTTAAGCTTTTTAAAAATTATTATTAGTTTTAATTGATCTGAGCATTATGCTTGTAAACTGCTATAAATAAATACAAAAAACAGTTTGTTAATTAACAGCATCATGTTTTCTTAAATGTTTTGCTTGTTTTGACATTAAATGACTCTTAAATATCTTGACATGGAAGATTATTTGTTCGGGGTCTTTCTTCATCACTACAATGGTCTTCATAACATGAAACCTGCAGAAGTTAATAAGGGGTAAAATATCTGATATATCTAATATCTAATATTATTTAATTTCCTTGCTCTGTAGGTAGGACAATAAGAAAGACAAAATCATTAATCAGTTAATAAAAATGTCCAAATTTGCTCCACAGTCTCCAGGGTGAAGACAAGATATTATTAAGATGCTCTTGCCATAGTCTTCCAGCAACATTTTAGGCTGTGTTAAGTAAGAAGCACAGTCAACAACACTGTGACTATGCCATTTCCTTCCAGGAATACTCTGTGTTCTCTGTCGGCACAAGAAATTCTTCTCAGAAACTGGGATGTTGAAAAGATCACTGATCAGATGTTTGGGATCTGTTAATGCGTCACTGTTGACCTCCACTCCAGGACAAGTATTGAAAAAGTGCTTTTAGCAAACCTTGGTAAAATAAGTGCATTGTGTATCATGTCTGTGAGCTAAATGATAAAATAAATGAATGATTAAAGGTCCGTGGGAACCAGAGATCACAAAATAAACACTCTATTGATGAAGACAGACACAAAACCACTGCCAAAGTTTCTGTTTCCTACGTCATAAACTGAAGTTCGGAGATAAAAATAATGTTGAGGGTGATGCCTTCAGTTCAACAGATATATATTATGTGGACAAAAACAGAAAAGCCTATTGGGAAAGAGGCTCAATTTTAAGTAGACACTCAATAGATTGGTAGAAGATTGATAGATTATATATATATTCTTTTCAATTAAATTCTATTTTATTTATATAACAGCGACAGCGACCTCTAGGTGCTTTATATTGTAAAAAACTACAATAATTCAGAGAAAACCACAAGAATCATATGCTCCCCAATGAGAAAACATTTTGGCGACAGTCAGGAGGAAAAACTCCCTTTTAAAAGGAAGAAACCTCCAGCAGAACAAGACTCAGGGAGGGGCACCAGTTAGGAGAAGGAAGGACAAAGACAAGCAGTAAAGAGAGCTATTCTGGTAAACCTTTTAAATTTCTCCTAAACCACTTGGTAGAGGATATTTTGAGCCCCTATGTATTTCTGACACATTTACAGGAAGTTAACCTATTTAAGCCACCTCTACAGCTTGGTTTTGATCTGTGGATGTCAATCTAGGTTATTCACTGAGTTTTTCAGGTAGCTTCCTCACAGGAAGTTAGCAATGACTAAAGAATGCAAGAAATGTAGACTCTCTGTGAGGAAAATATCAACGTCAGATATATTTGTTTTGATATGGCTTTTATATAAGTGTCAGATGCTTTAGTGAACAGATTTAAGAAACATGATAACTTAAAAAAAAAACCCAACTTTTTTAAGGGTCAAATAATTTTCCAAAAATATACTCTGCCAAATGGTTGATTTGTTCCTTTAAAGTAAATTTTCGAGCTGAAGCTAACCCAACTACAAAGGTCTGTTTGCAAAGAAATAAAACCTCTTATGATGATTTATTGGTGTTTATATCATAAATGTAATTGTACTACATGACATTCTTGCTAAAATACTTTCATAAGTATGAATATATAATCATTATAATGATAATGATTTATTTATGAGATAAAAAAATCTTATGAACACTTATTTGTGGTCTTAAATCACCAATAAGTGATCATCTTAAACTTGGTGAAAAAAATATGAGACTCTTTAAACATACTCTGGTTCTTTTTGTTTAAAAAATAATAGATGGACTCCAAAACTTTGTATTTTTTCCACTATTCATTCATGCCTACAGTCGACATATAGGAGATACTGATCTTTCTAGCATGCTGGCGCAAGACCTCAAACCCTATGCTATGTACCCCAACACTGAGCCTGTTTGGATTTATCTTTAACCTATGCATCTCAGAAGGGGGGTTAGATTGGGATGTTTATAAGACAGATTGTTCCCTATTGAACAAGAAACAAATATCTCATAAAAGGTTTTCCCCCAAGTTGCCATGCCAGCTTCTAAGGCTGAGCAACCATAATTCTGCTCCCAACCACACATTGTTTCAGAAGGAGTTGTAGCTACCAAGGTCCTCACAACCACTACCACATTTGGGAACAGACATCTGTGACTTCAGTGTGTTACTGCCCCTCTCCAAGGGCTTTGTAAATCCCAGAAATACAATATGTCCTTTGACTTGAATCCACACACAACCAAATACCACCAGAAATAAAGGGGATTTAATTTCTTATCTAATTTCTAATTTCTCTAGTCAATGAATTTTGTCATGATTCAAATCTGGTCAGTTTTGTGAACCATGCAGTTTTTGTTTTATTCTCAGTTCTGTTTGTTCTGCTTGGTCTCTTATTTTCCTCTGGAGACAATTTTATGTATGGATGTTGCTATGGATTGCTTGTTTTCTTTGTTGTTATTCTTCTCATTCATGAAAAAATTGAAACAGACTTTCCAACTATGAAAAGGCATCACCCCTGTGGGTTTCCAGTTGTGCTAACATCACCAGTCAGCCTTTTAACATGATTTACTCAGTGTGGTTTTTTGGCAAGAGGCGTGAATAAACAAAAATAATAGAAGGGAGAGATGCATACCAAATTCTCCTCTGTGTAATATTTACTTCTAATTTGTCAATAAATCTTACCAGCGGAGTTGATTAGTGTTCAGTGATGTACTCTGAACTCTTCACCACAACAGCAAACACAGATTTTAGAGGAGATGAACCAAATCCTACCTTTGTGCGTCAGCAGAGCGTCATCCAAGAATTCGGCGGTGGGTCTAAAGTGCACCGAGATGTCAGCATCAGGGAAGTCGTCTACTTCAATGCCCATGTACTTAATGTTCATGCTGGCGTAAAATGACTCGTTGGTGTAGACTCCTGTACCGTGAGCTGTGTTCAGGATGTGTGTGATGCCTATTCGCTTCAGACGGGCCTTATTCACTGCAACAGACCTGGGGGGGGGGATCTGTCTTACTGTGTGTAAAATGACCCATCCAAACGTTCAAGCAAACAGCTTTACTAAAAAGCCTCTGCAGCAAATGACACCTGAGGAACATCACACTCTGGAGAAGAGCAGGGAAATAAACTTTGGAATCAGCCATCTATCACCCTGTTCTGGAGCTTTCAACCACATCACACAATATTTATCAGCTACCAAGGTTGTTTCAGTTAACACGGAATATTTATCTGAGCACTTTTTGGATTTTTAATAGACCAAAAAAATGGTTGGATAAATTCACCAATAAAGACAGCTTGATTTACACAAAACCTCTCGAACAAGCTGTCAAGTAGACGAGTTAGGACTGTTTGTGCAGATTACTTGTTTATCGCAGACAGATCAGAAAATGGGATTTATAAAATCAATTAGAAGAGGAAAGTCTGTTTCAAGTGAATGATGAGGTGGAATTTGTCTCATATTTGGAAGGATTTCTCTAGCTATTCATTTCCAGCTATCCACTATAAGATTAAAGAAAGGAAATTATGAGAATTTTTATACATTTTTGAATCTTGTGCCATTGTGTCTGATGGGTACTTGCCATGAAAGCAAGAAAATTTGCAAAACCATTCAAAATCCATAAAAATGTAACAGAACTTTCTGTGAACCCTTACTGAAGTTCATCTTCCAGCATAGATTTGTCTTCTAAAATATCTGTCTGGAACTAAGAATAATCCTCTATGATGACTTGTGGAAAAATAATTTAAACAAAACGAGAATGCACCGACTCACTTTTCGGCAATGAAGATGTTGGGCCACACCTCATCCACGGGATTGATGGGAGCCTCTAGGCGGTCCTGCACCATGGCTCTCTGGATGTCCAGCACACAGGGTGTGTTGTAGGGGCTGCGGTCATCAATCATGTCCCTGACACGGTTGTAGAGATCTTCCACCATCAGCTGCTCAGCGGTTTCCAACATGGACTCTGGGATGGACTCAGACCGCACGCCTCGATGTGGCAACTCTGAGGAGGTAAGATAGTAATAAATATGATGGATTCTTGATTGATTTTGTTGTATTATATTAAGAAATTAATGTAAGAAGTCTGTGTGACACAGAAGACAGGATGAGGAGGTTGCGAGATGAACATCTTCAGGTATGCTACAGAACAAATCCAAGTATTTAGGATCAAAGATTTTGAGTGTAAAATTACTCCAACTGTTATGTTTGGTAATTTGTTTTGCGTCTTCCTTGATTGTCTCTGTTGCTACTTCCGACCTTATTTTGGTAATTTGCCTTTGGTTGTTTTATTTCCTGCAGTTTAGTTCTCTTTACTTTCTTTTATATTTCTGCTCTGCTGCATGTGATTTCTCTGATGGTTTCTTGTACTACGTGTTTCCGCCATGCCCCTGTTGGCTGCTCTTATTTCTTAGATTCATGTTTAGTTTGGAGTATTTGAACCTTCCTGGAATTTATCCTTTTATGGTTTATTGTGAAGATGAATCAGCTTAGGATTAAGAAGCTTTTGTTCAGAGCTCCTGCGTTTAGCCGCACTCCCCTGTGAAATCATAACAGCTATGCCACTCCTAAAGGACATACAGGGGTTTAATGTGTGAGCAGCTTCAAAAGAAGCATGCCATTAATGCAGAAACAGGTCACTGCAGCTGTCCTCATCAGCGGTCATCTTCCTCCCTGCAGATGAAACCCATTTTGATCATTAGGCTGCCTTTAATGCAGTCCAACTTAGGAGGAGAAATTTGATGAAGCCACGAATCTGTCATGCATCACATTAAGCTAATTTCCTCATTCCAGTGGATGGCATCTCCATGTAACAAGATGAAGGAGCAAAACGTGGATTGGCTGTGATTGAAGACTGTTGAGCCACATTAGTCTTCATTGCTTGACACGCTGCATATGAATGAGGAGTGAAGAGAGACAGAGTCTGACCCCTGCGCAGTGCTCATCTGCCCTCGGATGACTTTTAAAAGTTCAGTACGGCTGGACAAAGAACAGAGAAATTCATCTGATTGTGGTTTATTATTAATCAGTTAGAATCCCCCCAGAGCTTTGCAAATACAAATCAAATTTCAGATTAAGGCTGGTGAGGAATCATGATATAAAAGCTGATTTTATTTTATTTATTTATTTAGCCTGTAAACAGGCATCTGATGTCTGCTCTGTACTTTTCATCAATAGTTTATGATATATTTATATTTTTTGCCATTTTTGTTTATTTGTTATTAAGTGAAGGAAGCTTCTGTGTGAATTCACTTCAATTCAATTCAATTTTATTTATATAGCGCCAAAGCACAACAAAAGTCGCCTCAAGGCGCTAGATAGAGAGAAAAACCCAACAATCATATGACCCCCTATGAGCAAGCACTTTGGCACTTTGGGAAGGAAAAACTCCCTTTTAACAGGAAGAAACCTCCGGCAGAACCAGGCTCAGGGAGGGGCGGCCATCTGTTGCGGTTGGGGTGAGAGAAGGAAGACAGGATAAAAGAC